ACCCCCAGACAGATCCCCCTCTCCCCCGTTAGAGATGACCCCCCCCCCCCCCCCCCCCCAGCGCGCGCCTACCCGCTTTTTTTCTCACCGTCGTACCCCTTTTTCTTGGTTCTTTTCGCAGGTCTTCACGATCGGGGATCCCACCCCGACCGAGGCCCCCGCGCCCACCCCGTTGGTGAACCCGTCTACCCAGGCGCCGGGTACCCAGGCGCCCGCATCCACGGCGGGTCCGGTCCTCGTCGGCCCCTCCACGGCCCCCACGACCCCGGCCCCCGTGAACGCCGGTGCCGCCGGCTATCTGGGGTGCTTCGGTGACTCGCAAACCGACCGTGTCTTCTCCGTAGTCGTCTTCTCCGGCAGCATGACCACGGCGGTGAGCGGCATGAGAACGGAGGGAAGAAGGGGGGGGGGGGCGTTGTTGGTGCTTTGGCTTTTGGCGGTTTCATCGCCGTCGTGAAGGACGTAACACCGACCCTTTTGTTCTGGTTTCTTTCTTGTCTCTTTTTCGTATGTATTCCCTCTCCACTCAAATAATGAGGGTCGGGGATTAGTGATGAGTTCATAGCGATTAGCGGAAAGCACTGCTACCCTTTTGCTTTCCTAAAGCAGCATGCCGGAACAGGAACAGGCTCTACAAGATTTGACTTTCTTGTTGTTCGCCCCGTTTTTTACTTCCGGTCGTCGCTTTTGTTGACCGTTGCTGTTGGTGGTGTTGTTGGCGTCGCCGTTGTTGCGCCGCCACTCCACGAGCACTCCCCGGGGGTCGCGTTGCGTCTCCGCGCGTCGATACGCTGTCTATCCCCGTCCCTCCCACCGGTCCTCGCTCTGCCCCCCGCCCTAACCTCCGGTGCTTGCCGCTACTAATGCTGCTGCTGCATTCGTTTCCTACCAATGCACCATGTTTGGACGTCGCCCGAAAACGGCGGCACCGCACGGCAACAGATCTGTGCGGACACTTGCGCTGACTATGCCTACTATGGCACGCAGTTCGGCGGGGAGGTGAGCTCACAGTTGAAGGGCGCGAGCCTGTTGTGTGCATGAATCATCTTCTTGTCGACGTGCCCTTGGACAAGATATTGGGCCCCCGAAACCGAGGGTAACATAGTACCCAAAACGAAACCAAAACACACGTACTTTCTCTCTCTCGCATCAGTTGATGGTATTCAACAGCCACACAATGATGCACGTGTAACCGCGGGTTGCAGACAACGGCACAAGTGCTGCGAGCGCTGATATCTTGGAGGTAAATGCCATCAATACAAAAAAATATTCACGCGCGTGTCGGCGAGGCTGGAACCAAGAGTAATGCGTCTCAGACGATGTAGACGACGGCGATGACAGTCGTGCGCGACTTTTTGCCGCGGTGTATGTCGAGGTGGGAGCGACAGGCTGGGGGAAGAAGGGTCTCTCTCGCCCGATTCCCTAACGCAGCCTTCGCCTCGGGCAACCGGTGGTTGGCACACCACAACCCCTAAGCCTCGTTAGCAAAGATCACGGCTACGTCTCTTCATCCCGACAAGGGAAATCACTTGCCGCCTCACATTCAGTATCGTCTGATACACTGCGGTTACCTCTCTTCACGCTGACAAAAATGCCCATCCCTCGTCGTCGTCGCCTTTCCTCTTCTTGCTCTTCAAATGGATGTCGTCAGTGCTGGTG